AGTTCTTTGTAAACTCTAAAGTGTTTTATAAATATAAGGGATAATTACTATTCCTTGTTTGTAACTGATATATGAGAATTGATCATCTTCTATACAACTTAAATATTTTTCCAAAACCATTCCATACTGAAAATCCTGCCCATATTTATAGCAATAAAAATAATTTTCTGTCTGTTTGAGAAGCTATAAGAAAAATTTCTAAAATGCAAATTAATGTAAATGTAAATTATATCCCATGGTTCCTTTTTATTACAAATATTACAGAGAACTATATAATATCAGTTGATAATTACTTCTTTTTCCTCTACTAAATTATATGTTTGAGTATCAAATGATTGTTATCCTTTATTTATTTATCCTAGCAATTTTCTAAAGCCTTCCTAGTTTATAATCCCATTTAAAACATTGGTTTTCAACATATCTGTGTTGTTTCTGTAAAACTAATATGTGGTCATTGTATATGTTATTGTTTAAGAATTTTTTTAAAAAAACAAACATTAAAAGTAAGTTATGAAAAAAAAAAGTAAGTTATGTGAAATTCCATTGCTCTACTAATCACAACATTTTAGCAAACATCCTTCTAGACATTTCTAGGAATGCATGCACATATAGATATATATTCAATTTTACATAATGCAATCACAGAATCCATCTTGCTCTGTAATTTTTTTTTTTTTTGAGACAGGGTCTCACTATGTTGCCCAGGCTGGTCTTGAATTCCGGGGCATAAGTGATACTTCCGCCTCAGCCTCCTGAGTAGCTGGGACTACAGGCGCATGTCATCAAGCCCAGTTTGTAATCTTCTTCTTTTTTCTTTTTTTTTTAAAGCCAGTCAAATTTAGCAGTGGGGGGTTGTATACCAACTTTAGTGACACTAATGTTGATAAGTTCTGACAACCCACTACCATTGGACCAGCCTGTAATTGTTTTTTTACTCAACAATTTTTTCTGTTATTTTTCTGTCAATAAATGAAAGTCTATATTATAATTTTTAATGGCTGCATTGTTTTCCATTATCATGGTAGAAATGAAGGACTTAATCTCTCCTTTATTGTATGACATTTAGGACTCCTACAAACAATGATGAATAATTATGGTGCATGTATTTTTTATTAATATTTGTGAACTTTTCTTTATAGAATTAGCTCCTAGACCTGGAATTGATGGGCCAAAGTATATACACATTTTACATTTTTCCATTTTGATACATAATGCTAAATTACCCTCCAGAAAATTAAACCATGGTCTAACAAAGTATCAGATTTCTATTATCATAGTTGGGAATCCCAATGGCAATCTGCCAATCTATCAGCATACTCACTATTTACTGCAGCTGTTGTCTTACTTTGCACAGTAGTATCATGACTTAACTATGGTTTCCTTCAGAACTCTTGGGTAAATGCCTTCTGGTCCCAATGATGTAGTCAATTGCATCTGCTATCTAGAGCACTAAAGATTTGGGTGATGCAAGTAGAGATGAGGTTGAGAGGACAAATTAAGGAATTGTTGGACTAGAACCCAAGTGTTCTTTTCACTGTACTGCTTCCTGGATCTGCCACCTCTGATATACTTCAAAGGGCAGTTTTTAAGTGGGAATTTCCCTAATGCTATCTTCTATAAAGAAGGAGACTATTTTTTCAAAATCTTTTCTTACTCAGAAGATCAATACTATCCTAACTCTTAAATTGAATTAAGGCTGGTAACCTTGCTGTTAAAACTTCTGTGTAGCCTTGGGCATGCTACTTAAACTCTCCAGACTTCAGTTTCCTCTTTAAAATGAAACAGGCCAGTGATTTCTGATACCCTTTCTTTTTCAAAACTTTTGTTTCCTATGTTAATTGATTGTTTGCACTAATATCTTTTCTTGGTTTAAATAATTTCTTACTAACTTTGGAGCATCTTGTAAATTACCATCAAAATATAATCCCTTTCATTTTGGAAGACATCTCTTGTCATATTGGTGCAATTTTTTTTTTTTTTTTTTTTTTTTGACACAGAGTCTCACTGTGTTGCCTGGGCTAGAATGCCGTGGCGTCATCCTAGCTCACAGCAACCTCAAACTCCTGGGCTCATGCAATCCGTCTGCCTCAGCCTCCCGAGTAGCTGGGACTACAGGCATGCGCCACCATGCCCAGCTAATTTTTTCTATATATTTTTAGTTGTCCGATTAATTTCTTTCTATTTTTAGTAGAGACGGGGTCTCGCTCTTGCTCAGGCTGGTCTTGAACTCCTAAGCTCAAACAATCTGCCCGCCTTGGCCTCCCAGAGTGCTAGGATTACAGGCGTGAGCCATCGCACCCAGCCTTGGTGCAATTTTTTAAAAAATATGCTTTTCTACTACAATAGCTTGCCTGCTTTTTAATTAGTGTTATTTTCCTTCAGCTTCCAATAACGTATATATGCTTCTGTTTAGTTACTTATTTTGAATAATTCTGTACACTTTTCCTGAATTTGTTGGTAATATTTTAAAGAAAGAAACAATTCTTTCTCCTGACATAATACTTTATTTAATAGGATACTTTTTTTTTTTGAGACAGCGTCTTGCTCTGTCACCCGGGCTAGAGTGCTGTGGTGTCAGCCTAACTCACAGCAACCTCAAACTCCTGAGCTCAAGCCATCCTCCTGCCTCAGCCTCCCAAGTAGCTGGGACTACAGGCGTATGCCACCATTCCCAGCTAATTTTTTCTATTTTTAGTAGAGATGGGGGTCTCACTCTTCCTGAGGCTGGTCTCAAACTCCTGACCTCAAGTGATCCTCCCACCTTGGCCTCCCAGAGTGCTAGGATTACAGGTGTGAGCCACTGTGCCCAGCTATATAGGATACTTTTAATGCTTTGATTTGACTTCATTAGATCCTCAAAACAGCCCTGTGAGGTTAAATACTATTATCCATATTTCGCAGATGGCAGAAACTGAGGCTTAAGCTAAGTGATATTTCTAAAGTCACTCAGCTTGTAAATGATACACAGCTATGTCTAAGGATTCTAAATCCAGGGGTCTTTCTACTAAGCCACAGGTGCCTCTATGTTTAAAGATTAAATATTTTTAGTTATATAGATTTTTTTCTTGTAATATTTATCATATACATGTGTCTATGCTCATCACAAAAAGCAGTCATCAAACTTACAGAAAAGTTGTGTCAGGGAGGAAAACTTTTCCTCTACCCTTCTTAGGTTCAATCATTGACGGCCTACAAATCAAATTGGCAAAAGACACATTAGCAGGAGGAACAAGGAAACAAAACAGATTTAATTACATATGCACAAGGGTTCACAAAGAAATGTGACTCAAGGAAGTGGCTAGAATTTGGGGTTTATATACTATTTTAATATGGAATGGGGAGGGGCAGAGGGACACTGCTGGAAGAACAAATGACTTCTTAGAAGCCACTGGGGATAAAGGTCATTTAAGGAAAAACAAATGCCTTTTGGAAAGATAAAAGACGGTTGAGTTCTTATTTTATTTTATTTTCAATTTTTTTAAGAGACAAGATCTCACTCTGTCGCCCAGGCTGGAGTGCAGTGGCACAATCGTAGCTTATTGTAAACTCGAATTCCTGGGTTCAAGTGATCCTTCTGCCTCAGCCTCCCTCTTAGCTGGTTCTGCAGGTATGTGCCACCACACCCAGCTAACCTTTTTAAATTTTTTGTAGAGACAGGTCTTTCTAGTCTCCCAGCCTAGTCTCAAATTCCTGGGCTCAAGGGATCCTCCCACCTGGGCCTCCCAAAGCACTGGCATTACAGGCATGAGCCGCTACTCCCAGCCCAGATGCTTTCCTCAATTCCTGACAGAAGACAACATTTTTCCATCCATGAGTTTCCTTAAAACGTTTTACATTTTTAAAATTTGATTGTTTTGGGGAATTTTATACTTAGTTCTTTTTCTTCTTCTAATTTTTTTTTTCTCCTCTTAAAGGAAGCTATAATCTTTGGGAACCAAGATCATTAATAGAATGTAAGAGCTGGAAGTTTTCAGTTAGTCAAAACTTCCCCACTTTACAGATAACGAAACAGAAAAGTGACTGAGTGATTTGCTCAAGGCCAGAGTTGAGAATAACAAGATTTTAAATAATCAGTCTGCTTTCTATTTCTGTGGGAGACATGCTCTTCTTGCTAAATTTTCTCCCTCAATCCTGGGTTAATTCTTTTGCATTGAAATGTGGTTCTTACTATGGTCCTAGTTTGGAATGTGTGGAATGAAAGGGAAACTAGTAGGGTCTTCTGGAATTTAGCACCCGGTCTTTCTAGGATTTTTAGGTGATATAACATTGCCAAAGTTTCCTTATTTTAAATGGACTTGTAGGTAAACAAATATTTCTTCAGTGCCTACCCTGTGTAAGGCATGGGGATTGCACTTTCACGGTGAAAGGAGGGAGGAGAGGAGCCGGTTGGTCGCTCAGATATTTGACTGATAAACCAGTCCTGTTTATGGTATGTTTGGCAATAGGGAAAATTCTCTCTAGGCTATCAAATGGAGGGGTTTATTACTTGTTTTAGCAAGCCTTAACGCCTCTATCGGTAACAATTCTTTGCATTTCCTAGAGTAGGGGCTAAGACGTACCCTGGAATCTTTCCTTTTTCATGTGGATTTTCCAATTATGTCAGACTTTCCCGAAGGCTATCCTTGAATAGCCTTTTCTGCTTGCGCGATGGCAAAGACACCAGCAGTTTTGCAAGCTTCCTCCTCAGTTTGGAGCTTCTTAGAAGCACGGCGGGTCGGACCACAAAGCTCGGTGACAAACGCGCATTACAGGACCTCGGGAGGCTCCTTCTCAGGAGTCGGAGCGCGCCTGCGTGCCGGAGCCCCTTTGTTGCTCGGGCGCGAGAGACCGGCTGCGCCTGCGTGGTAGGCTGGCGCCTACAAGTGCGCTGCAGCACCGGTACCGGCTGGGGGCGAGCAGACCTCGAGCAGACGCCGCCGCCGCCGCCGCAGCCGTTGCGACCGCCGCAGCGGAGTTCAGGGGGCCCTGAGGTGGGAGAGGCTTCCCACACGGTGACTGAGATGTCTTCCACAGCGGCTTTTTACCTTCTCTCTACCCTGGGAGGGTACTTGATGACCTCATTCTTGTTGCTTAAATACCCGACCTTGCTGCACCAGAGAAAGAAGCAGCGATTCCTCAGTAAACACATCTCTCACCGCGGAGGTGAGAGGGGTCCCCAGAACCCGATGGCGGAGGTGGGGGAGGCTTTTTTATTTCCGAGTCGAGCTGAGGGTCCTTTGGAGCTCTGCAAAAGGCAGCGGATGGAAATACATGAGAGTTTGAGGAAGAATGGGGTTGTGCGAATAGAGGGCTCCTCCGGAGGTGAAGGCGGCGTGAAGGGGAGGTCTCCTGAGGGGAGGGAAGGAAAGGGGTCTCGAGTCACAGCCACGGTGGGGAATCTCTCGAGTGCAGCAGTGTCAGGGGTTCTGTGACGCGGGAAAGACCAGGGCGAGGATGAAGGGTAGATGGATCGTTTCTCGGCGGAGGGAAGGATGATCGCAAGGTCCCTTCCTGGCAGCAAGGCACAAGGGGGGAGCGCCGTGCAGAACCGAGGGTACCCCGCCGTGCAGAACCGGGGAACCGGGAACAGACTGCTCAGAGCGAGCCCGTGGCTGAGCGGATGGAAAGAGCCGGGGCGACGAGCAGGGCTGAGGATCTGCGTGAACCTGGAGCGGGCTGTAGCCCGGGTGTCTGTGACGTCTGGGGACCGATCCTGCCCCATGCTCCGAGCATTCATAATTGAGAAGAGAGGGAAACCGAGTCCCCAAGACAGGGACATTTCCCAAGGTCACAATTAGAGCTTGGGCAGAACTGGGACAGGAACTGGAACATCCTGCTTCCCAGGGCTGCAAACCTTGCACCTGTTTGTGTGTGTGTGTGTGTGTGTGTGTGTGTGTGTGTGTGTGTGTGTTTTAAGCACCACCCTGCACCCCAGCAAAGACACGTGGATTTCCAAAAGACTAAAAGATGATTTAGTTTATGACAGGACAGTAATTGTTTAAAGAAAACAAAGATAAATTTCTTTTGGAAAAGTGTTTTGCTAAAAGGAGCCTAGGTAGTCTACCCTCTAATTTCCAGATGATAGGCCAAACCTTTGCCTTCATTATTGTGTAATAATGTGTCTTCATTGCATTTCAAGCACGATGTATAAAATTTTTTGAAATTGGAATATTTCCATCAATTTTAACTGTTCTTTAGGGATAAATGTTAAACCAGATTAAAATTGCTTGGAATTTATAGTTTAATACATACTTGAAATGGTAAACTCTAGGAGTTTACAGTCTAAAGCTATTTAGTGCCATAACACCTTTTCAAACAAGTATTGGCCAAGGAATAAGGTTTTAAATATCACAGAAATACATTGTAATTCTTCTGTATAATCTGTATAATCTTATCAGTTAAACAGTTCTAATAAGTGACTTCAATAATTGTTCTAGTCTACCACTCATGGAAAGCATCAAAGGTTTTAAAGGGTTGTCAGCTAAATGCCATGTTATTGCTTATTCAGTTTATTTGTTTTAATAGATATATGATTAAACTGTAGGATGACATGTAACTACTAATGTGCCTTCAACCACTGGAACCAGGGACCAACTTTTAGTATTCAACTTTTTGCCATTCAACTTGAAGCAATTTTCAATGATAGTAGTCCTACTGAGGGGATAGGCAGTACACACTACAGTTGTGTTTGCTGATTTACAAAAAGAAAGGTGTGCTTACTAAAAACCCCAAACCAAAACAAAACTAGGTCCTCCAAAAAGCTATCTAAACTGTCACTATGAATGATTGAAATTTTATTTTAGAAGAAATACATGTTCATCTTTGAAATGCACACGCTACAGGTGCAAAAAAAAAAAAAATAAAACAGCACTCTATAAGAGTTAAAAAATATGTGTTAAATCATCTCAGCAAGTATCAAAGCCAGGATAAGCTAGATCTCAAATTCTCATTTACTGTTGGAAATACTTTTGAAGTATTTCTCCCTAGATAGTAACTCATTTCAATATCACACCTTATATAAAAATTTCCATGCATTATTTGTAAATGTGACATCAGTATTTGTGTATTTAAAGATGTAACTGAACCTTTCATGGTAATTTTGTTAAATATCTGCAGATTCAAAATCTATTACCTGTACAATGATCCTGCAAGCATTGTGGTAAGTTCCCATATGTCAGTGCCTAATGTGCTTTTGTTGAGTATGTGCACCAAGTAATACAGTTGAATCCAGAGTAATAGAGGAGATAAAACAAATACTAAGTCTCTGGAAAATAAGAGACATAGGTAACTAGGAAGGAGTTACCTCCTTGGTTACTTTTAATTTTTGTCTTGGACACTGATAATAGCAACCACTGATCTCTCTGTGCAAATTGCTAATATTTGGGCTTATTCTCTATTGCCCTAACCACAGATACCTGATATTTCTTGTAAACCAGATGTATGACCATTCCAATGTTAAAACATTGATCATTCTTTGTGTATAAACATATGCACCTGGATTGGTATAACTTGAAACTCTTATTGTTTACTATATTATGTCTACTACAAAAGCATTATGATAAAGATTTAAAGCACCTGAGTCAGATTCTAGATCTAGGGATTAGCCTTGGGAATAAGCCTTAGTTTCCTTATCTATAAAATGGGGACTGTTTGCCTTGCTTACCTCTGGAGTTATTATGACTATCAGGTGTATAAAAAGCTCTTTGAAAACTGCGAAATTGTTTGGAAAGATAAGTGTGGATACAGTTATATTTTGTAATAAAACTTTGAGTTCATTGAGAAGGAATGAGATCTATACTGACATTTTCAAAGTTTTAATACTCGCTGGGCGCGGTGGCTCACGCCTTTAATCCTAGCACTCTGGGAGGCCGAGGCGGGAGGATCGCTTGAGCTCAGGAGTTTGAGATCAGCCTGAGCAACATATTGAGACCCCATCTCTATCAAAAATAGAAAAATTAGCCAGATGTGGTGGCACACACCTGTAGTCTCAGCTACTTGGGAGGCTAAGGTAGAAGGATTGCTTGAGCCCAGGAGTTTAAGGTTGCAGTGAGCTATGATGATGCCACTGGACTCTAGTCTGGACAACAGAGCAAGACCCTGTCTCAAAAAAAAAAAGATCATGTTGGCCCAGCACCATGGCTCAGACCTATAATCTCAGTGCTTTGGGAGGCCTAGGCAGGAGGATTACTTGAGGCCAGGAGTTTGAGTCCAGCCTAGGAAACATAGCAAGACCCTGACTCTACAAAAAAATAAAAAAAATTAGCCAGGCACTATGCCTCAGTAGTCCTAGCTACTTGGGAGGCTGAGGCAGGAGGATCCCTTGAGCCCAGGAGTTCATGCTACTGCATACCAGAACTCCGGCCTGGGCAACGGAGAGAGACCCTGTTTCTAAAAAAAAAAAATCATGTTAATTGCAGTTCTTTGTAAACTCTAAAGTGTTTTATAAATATAAGGGATAATTACTATTCCTTGTTTGTAACTGATATATGAGAATTGATCATCTTCTATACAACTTAAATATTTTTCCAAAACCATTCCATACTGAAAATCCTGCCCATATTTATAGCAATAAAAATAATTTTCTGTCTGTTTGAGAAGCTATAAGAAAAATTTCTAAAATGCAAATTAATGTAAATGTAAATTATATCCCATGGTTCCTTTTTATTACAAATATTACAGAGAACTATATAATATCAGTTGATAATTACTTCTTTTTCCTCTACTAAATTATATGTTTGAGTATCAAATGATTGTTATCCTTTATTTATTTATCCTAGCAATTTTCTAAAGCCTTCCTAGTTTATAATCCCATTTAAAACATTGGTTTTCAACATATCTGTGTTGTTTCTGTAAAACTAATATGTGGTCATTGTATATGTTATTGTTTAAGAATTTTTTTAAAAAAACAAACATTAAAAGTAAGTTATGAAAAAAAAAAGTAAGTTATGTGAAATTCCATTGCTCTACTAATCACAACATTTTAGCAAACATCCTTCTAGACATTTCTAGGAATGCATGCACATATAGATATATATTCAATTTTACATAATGCAATCACAGAATCCATCTTGCTCTGTAATTTTTTTTTTTTTTGAGACAGGGTCTCACTATGTTGCCCAGGCTGGTCTTGAATTCCGGGGCATAAGTGATACTTCCGCCTCAGCCTCCTGAGTAGCTGGGACTACAGGCGCATGTCATCAAGCCCAGTTTGTAATCTTCTTCTTTTTTCTTTTTTTTTTAAAGCCAGTCAAATTTAGCAGTGGGGGGTTGTATACCAACTTTAGTGACACTAATGTTGATAAGTTCTGACAACCCACTACCATTGGACCAGCCTGTAATTGTTTTTTTACTCAACAATTTTTTCTGTTATTTTTCTGTCAATAAATGAAAGTCTATATTATAATTTTTAATGGCTGCATTGTTTTCCATTATCATGGTAGAAATGAAGGACTTAATCTCTCCTTTATTGTATGACATTTAGGACTCCTACAAACAATGATGAATAATTATGGTGCATGTATTTTTTATTAATATTTGTGAACTTTTCTTTATAGAATTAGCTCCTAGACCTGGAATTGATGGGCCAAAGTATATACACATTTTACATTTTTCCATTTTGATACATAATGCTAAATTACCCTCCAGAAAATTAAACCATGGTCTAACAAAGTATCAGATTTCTATTATCATAGTTGGGAATCCCAATGGCAATCTGCCAATCTATCAGCATACTCACTATTTACTGCAGCTGTTGTCTTACTTTGCACAGTAGTATCATGACTTAACTATGGTTTCCTTCAGAACTCTTGGGTAAATGCCTTCTGGTCCCAATGATGTAGTCAATTGCATCTGCTATCTAGAGCACTAAAGATTTGGGTGATGCAAGTAGAGATGAGGTTGAGAGGACAAATTAAGGAATTGTTGGACTAGAACCCAAGTGTTCTTTTCACTGTACTGCTTCCTGGATCTGCCACCTCTGATATACTTCAAAGGGCAGTTTTTAAGTGGGAATTTCCCTAATGCTATCTTCTATAAAGAAGGAGACTATTTTTTCAAAATCTTTTCTTACTCAGAAGATCAATACTATCCTAACTCTTAAATTGAATTAAGGCTGGTAACCTTGCTGTTAAAACTTCTGTGTAGCCTTGGGCATGCTACTTAAACTCTCCAGACTTCAGTTTCCTCTTTAAAATGA